CCAGCCAGCAGAGCTGGCTGGAGAATTCTGGGAGTTGAAGTCCACAAGTCTTAAAGTTGCCAAGGTTGGAGACCTCTGAATATACCACATCTTTAGACTAAAGAGAGTCATCTGAAGGCTTTGTCTAACATGGATGGAGGGTATAAAGATCTAGGTGCCCCAAAGGTCATGCGAATAAAAAAAAGAAAAATAGAAAAAGGTAGTGCAAATAGGAATGTAAAAGGAGGAAAAAAGTAAAGACCATACATTAAATATATATATATATATAAAAGAAAATGTTGACTGCTGGTGCTTATAAGAAAAGAAGGAAGGATGTAATGGAGCTGAATGAAATTGGCTGGATCTAATGGAGAAGAATTGCTGAATACATGCAAAGAAATTAAGGTGTAGGTTTAATCATGAATAAAAGGGCTGAAGCATATGTCAGAATCATTAAATTGGTGTCATCTAGTTGTGAGTGCATGTGAAAGTAAGAATCCATAGGTTAGTGACAGACGAGATTGGCCCATTCATAAAACCAAGAATGAATGATGATTGTTTTGTTGGAATGACTTGAGATCCTCAGGAGAGATGAGATGATCATATATATTCAAGAAAGTATGTGATGCAACCTGTTTTGAAGACAGCAGTAATGCACCCTTGCTATAATCTCTCCCTTGACCAATTCATTTTTTACACTTTCACTCAGTTTCCAACCTGCCCTTTTTAGAGAATTTAGAGAAAGAGAACGTAGGGGTAAACAGAGTATCAGAGAAAATATGGCCATAAAAGTCAGTTGGGTGACTTTGAGCCAGTCACTTTCAGTCCAACTTGCCTCACAGGGTAGGAAGAATATGTTGGATATATTTGCTATCTTGAGGTATTTGTAAAAATAAAGGTGGGGTACAAATAAATAATTTAATAAAAATGTATTACATTACTGTCACTTAGGATTCATGCCTGGTCATTGGTTGGAACTGGTATTGGTTGCTTTGGTTGATGATTGCCAGATCATATCAGTTATGGACTGTTGACATATCTATCTAATGTTCATATTACACTATTAATCATACGGGATAGTCCTAAAACACTTCATCTGAAATGTCCATAGGTGCTGAGTAAACTGTCCACATTTCTCTGCTGTATAGAGTAGCATGATGGCTGCATTGAATCCTAATTTTCAGTTTTTCCTTTTTCAAAGACATACTATTGGTAAAAGCTGACTGATCACTTCCAATTCACCCAACATCATTGAATCTGGCAACATTGATTCAAAGTCAGAGAGCTAGATTTTTGAACTTATCCACCAGTTCAATTGGTTCATCTCTAAAGGCCATGTTAATTTTTGAGTCATGAGTTGACAGTCATGGTCTTTTTAAGTAGTCCAAGACTCTCTGCTAGTTTCTGACACCTAATAGTTCCTGTGCCTTCAGTTCTGATTCCTCTGTGAAAAGAGTCATTGGCTTATGTTGCATCTGTGAAATTCAGTTTATCTGCCTCTTGTATCTCTGACTTTTTCCCCATTATCCAACCTAGCACCTTCTTCAACAGCAGTGGTTATAATACATACCTTCATCACAGTCCTATTTTGACTAAAAGGGTTGGTTTTGTCTTTGTGAACTTTAACTGTATCCTAAAATGTAGGAAAGGCTCAGGTGATTTTGCTGTGTATGCTGATCACCAAAACAGCTTTGTACTCCAAATCCCAGTGGATGCTCTTAAAGATAGCAACCATAAACATAATAGCAGTTTGCTTGCTTGGTGGTAAAAATCTGGCACACACAGCCATGGCTTGCTCTGAAACCACCTTGTTCTTTCTAAGTGGAAATTCTCTCATTTGTTGTAAATACTGTTTGCTCTGATAATCTGCACAAGGACTTTCTATGGTCAGGGAACTGATAGCTTTCACATCATGCCTTTTTAAACACAAGCACAATATCATCAAGTGTTAATATCTTCATGAAAAACCATTCAAAATTGTCAGAGAAAATCAGCTACTTTTTAAGGCTCAACAGAAACATAATGAGCAGCAGCAGGAGTGTCAGAAAAGTCAGTATCAATTCTTAACCAATATTGAGGACTACAGTAATGTCTCTGGTCAGTCATATTGTTCAAACTGGAACAGGACAGTTAACAGATGGTTAATTTTTACATCTGTATACAGAAGTCTAGATGGGCCCTTCAAAAGTTAGTCAGCTCTGGGAAAACTACTCTGTGATTTTTATAATTCATCTTCACTAGCCCAATTACAAAGGGGGTTAGAAAAGCATTGGAAAGGCTGAATTTCTATCTAGTGATGCTGACTGCACTCGAGTACAGATTTTATTCTGTATTTTCTGAAAGGTTGTATAGATAAAATTCAACGTGATTACTTCCTAGTCATCTGTAAGTAACTAGGTGAATACTGATAATTCCAATTCACTGTTCAGTTAGGAGAATGCTTATCCTACATTACTAGTGTATATTAGTATAGATGTATTCTGGGGGAGTAGCTGAGTGAATTCGATTGTCATTCAAACACAATAAAAATACAACTAATACCTAAGGAAATACCTATTTCTAAAGCATAGAACCACAACTTTGAGTATAATCTTTTGCCTACATGTATTTTGAACTTTGATCTAGCAGAGAAAAATGGATTTGATTATGGAAATGTTTATCAAAAGTAGTATATTACTTTGGGAGGCACTTGTTAGTGGAAAAATAGTTCTATGTGACAATTATTATTTTTGTAGATGATGAAGAAGATGGAGATGAAGAAGAGGAAGAAGAAGGAAAGCATATCAACACCAAAGCATATTCAAATGAACCACCATTAAAACGGACAAAATCACACTCCTGATAGAAACTATAATTTTTTTAAAAAAAAATTAAAGTTCCTGTACTATGAAAATTTATCTTTTAAAAAATTGAAGGCTTGGATATTTAAAATACTCAAGTTTTGTATCTGTAATTTGAAATTATTCAACAAGATTGTATGTGTGAGGAAAAAAGCAAAGTTGAAAGTACCCTTTCTGCTTGGGAAAGGCAACAATGAAAACGCTTGACTGGAGCAACTACTCCTAGGCAGAAATACCCTCCTCAACTCCCAACAAGTCTAGGCTCAGCTAATTCCCCCCCTCCAAGAGTTTTACAGCCCAGCCGCTACCAGAAAACCTCAGGGGGGAGCACTTAGTTGCTCTTCAATCTGCCAAGAAAGAGAAAAACTGACCAGCACATTGTCCACAGGCATCCACATCTTAAAATCAGAGCTGGCCAACCCTAGCTATTTGATGGGCATTATGTCTACAGCTGGCAAGTTTAGCCATTTTTTTTTTCAAGGTCTTTAGACAGCCAGGTGAGCATACTTCACTCCACCATGCTTTCAAGTTAGAAAGGGGAAAGTCAAATTAGAAGGTGTGGGTGAGCAGAAGTGGAAGAAAGGGCAAGCAGAGGAAGAGGTTAAGCATACTGAGACTGCCAAGACTGTTATAGCCCTTCAAGATACTAATATTTCCTTATAAGATTATAGTAGCAGAATCTTAAAAGTCTGAATGTACTTCCCCCGATCTCCCTTTATCTTCATGAGAACTAGAGGGGTGGTGGTGGTTCTGAGATGCTTACTCAGTTTACCTTCTGGCCTTAGATTTCTTTTTTTTACTCTTGCCTTGTTTTTTTGTTCATACCTGGAGGTGTTTTCCTTTTGTCTACTGTTGTATTTTTCTTTTATATTTTCTTTGTAACCTCTCAAAATTGGGAGTCGGGCACACGTATTTTTGTAGTAGTAGTTTTGAGTAGTATAAATGTATGTTATTTGCAAGGATTAAAAACCGGGAATGTGGAACTTTCTGTTCTGAAATTTCTATTTATCCACGTGATCAGAAATGGAATTTGTAGTTAGATATTATCTGAACCACTGTTCCCCCCATTTCTGCACCCAATTAACCTTCCCAACAGCATCTCTATGAGCTTACAAGTTCTCAGAAATAATCAATATTCAGAATATTGCTGCTGATACCTGTAGGCTGGGTTTACAGAATTTGGTTCTAGTTATTTTGTATACAATGCATTTCACTGTCTTTTCAATGATTCAGATAGTTAGAGAATGGAATATTAAACATCAGCTTGTTTTTCAAACATGAGCAGCAGTTATTACATTTTAAAGAAATTTTGCAGAAATTTATGAACAAGTAAAAGGATAATTTTCTTTTAAGCCTATCATGTGCAAAAGGAATCCCATTTTATTTAGTGCAACATCATCAAAGGAGAAAGGACAATGTCTCAAATGCCACTTTTATAATAATTCCAAAATTTACACATAAACACAGGTAAATTCAATTTTCAGCAATTCGCTTATAGGAAACTTGAAGTTTTGAAGTATGCACAGTGAATTAGAGTTTCAAATATATATTTATTCTAAAATCTTCAGATGGAGTGTAGAAACTGCTTTGTAAGGCCAATATGAAGAATGTTACCCCCTGTTCTCAAAGAACTTTTCATCAAATAGAATACCCCCATAGTTAAAAATCATCTTGTTAAAAAAAAATAGAAGGTTGGTAGGTGTTCTGTCCAGAGGTTAATGTTGACAAAAAGAATTTCAAGTTCTTTTCAGATATTCAAATGGTCTTCAACTTATCAAAACCCAGCCACAGGGGAATGGGAGAGGGCAAGCCACACTGGTTTCCTTACGTGTCAATAAGATGCAGTCTGCTGATTTGATTGGAGGCCTTTGCAAATGTTTGATGGCGATTGCAAACCACAGCCAAGCAGATAGGAATTATGCAGTAGCCCACTGTTTTAGGATCAGCCCTCGTACATGAGTACAGAAATAAGAACATTTGTAAATAAGGTATTAAAAAGATAATGACCCATAGCCAAAAGGGTACAGAGAGAAGACGTGTTTTTAAGGAATGCATCCAACTGATTTCTTGTTTAAATTTCTCTGGCGGCTGCTGAATGTGTTCCAGTGCTAGTCGACTATAAGTCTCATTGATTTCGAAAACATAATAAAATGCTGCAGCACTTGCTATTAGATACAGTCCCACACCAATCCATCCCATCCTCTGACGGAAATTCATCATTCTCCATGCTCTGCACCTTAAAAACAAAAATAATTGGCCATTGTGAGGAAAAGTAACATACAATAGTACACAATAAGAGTTGCTTAGTATAAGCCAGTGTTTCTCAACCTTAGCAATTTTAAGACTGGCTGGGGAATTCTAGGCATTGAAGTCCACACAATGTTGCCAAGTTTGGGACTCCCTGGACCAGAGGATTTTCTAACATTTTGCCAGCAACTGGCTGGCATCTTCAGAGGTAAAGTGGCCTGCTATGCAGACCGCCGATAACTGAGCAGGGCCTATAGGGCTGACCTGTCTTTGTAGCCAGGTGCCCTAACTTCTAATTGCCCTTTAGCTGAGCTGATTTCTCAATGGGGCAGATTGGTGAGAGGTTTTTTCTTTTGTCTAAAATGTGTTCAGTTTTTCCTACTTGCCCTTACTATATTCCAGTATTTTTTTTTCCTATGGAATATTTTTATTCTATATGCATAAAGAGGTTTCCTCTTGTCCAGTTTTATCCAACTCTACAGGGTGGTGCTGATCTCCAATTCTTAGTGGTGGGAACCAGCGTTATCTGGAGACACTTCCATGGTCATGTGGGCAGCATGAATATATGCCGAGTCACACGGAATGCTGTTACCTTCCCACTGAAATGGTACCTAATATCTACTCGCATTTGCATGCTTGGCAGGAGCTAGAGCCAATAACTCGAACTCACCCCGTTGCACAGTATCTAGATCTCAAAACCAAACTCTGAGTTTTCCAGCTCACAAGCCAGCATCTTTAGCTGAGGAGCCATTGCACCCCCCCTTCTATATACATATGTGGTTCTTATGCAAGTATATAATGTAGTAGTTTTAAAGTAAGCAGTCCTGGTCTAGCAATTCCAAGTTCAGCTCCACTCAGGTATGGAGCTGACTGGGTCATTTGTGCTTCACTCTCAGCCCAAGATATTTCACACGTAATGGTGAAAATGTTATATAAGTAAGTAGATAGCAATATAAAAATAGATACATTAACCCTCTTTCTATATGAAGAGAATACATGTGTAGTAATTGAGTAATTGACTGAATTCACCTTTATTTTCAGCCTTTGTTTAAAGATCCCTTAGATCTTTAAGAAAAGCTGCTAAACTTTGTTTAAAGTTCCTTTAGCAAATATTAGTAGATATCCTCAAGTTTCAACTACATATTATTTGGTAACAATGCCCCAGCATAGCACATAGATAACATATTTAGAACTGGGAGCTATAGAACTAATGCCTCAGCAAATTATGCTTATTATGATACTTATTCTGTTTCATTACAGCAAGACCACGGGACTGAATTATCTCTTCCTTATGCAAGATACAGATCACCTTCCAACATATACTAGTATCGGAATTATTATGTTTGATTATTATAAGCATTTAAAAGGGTTCCCAAGCAATTAATTGGTGGTTTATGGCATTCATTACTTGATTATTAAAGTCTCATTTGTTTTTCATGGAGGGTGGGATATGAGACACTTTCCATCTAGTATGAAAAGGAATTATGTGTAAAAAGATTTTCCACAGAATTGGCTGCTTTTTTCTGAAAACTGGGATGCAATGATTAAAGCAAAACAAAATAACATATAAAAACAATAACAAAAATAACTAGGGACATCAGAGTTCTTATCTGAAGAAAACCAACATTTTGATTCAACATTCTATAATTCTGATCATTTACCAATCACAGTGATACTGAAGCATACTTCTATAAGCAGCAAATTTTGTTTAAAATTATCTCTACTTTCATCATGCAAAGGCATATTATACCAAACTAGGAATGTGTAACTCTCAGTATCACTCATCCCAGTATGATTATGAGAGCTATGGGCACATATTGCTCAGCAGAGTAAGATGTCTAACCAGCTTTTATTCCTGCCATGAATCATCCCAACATTCTAAATTAATTGCAGAACTGTAGGCAGCACATGACACTTTTTCTTTTGGTTACAATATATAGAGGCATAGTGGCTTTAGTTAATGATCAAAGTTTGAACTTTTCTCCAAACTAGTAGCATACTGAATTTAGAATAGTGAAAATGAATGAATGAAACACACATGCACACCTGCTTTCATTTTTCAGAAAAAAGCTACAATTTAACAATATATCAAAGGAAATATCAATAATTTAAAACAATTTAATTTAAAACTGTTTTAAAACTCGCACTATTTAAAGAGAGACATGGATATAGCATTAATGCTGCATAGATGCTCATACCTTTAATTTAGTATCATTTTTGTGAAAATACTCTAATGATTCTAATTCTGAATTTCTGGGAAAATAGATCAAGCACATTAATGAAAGTCCAGGCAGTACCTTCAGACCAACTGATCTGTATTGCAACTTATCTGCACAGCAGTTCTAGGCAATAATTTCATGATGAAGTTTATGAAGAACTTAATATAAACCGTGGATACATTTTAAAGTCATAGAACTGAGTTGTAATACCACAGTAATATTTACTGCAGTCATAGGAGAGGACTGTAGTCTTGTACATGGCACTGTAGTTTCTGTTTCTGTTTGCTGCTCTAATTGAGGCTGAGGGGCAATCTGAGCAATCATTAAAATCACTCTAAATGTTGAACTATTTTATCAGCACAAACACCAAACAATCATCTCAAGGCAACATTACAGGAACTTTATTCCAGTTCTACAGCATACTTTTACTTGAAGCATGTAGCAATGAGAACAATCTGTTCCAGAGCTTGATTTACATATTTTGTTGCCAATGCTAATGACAATATTGTTTTAAAAGGTATAACAGTGTTGTACTAAATACCAGGATCCACCAGAAGGTTCTGTCTTCAGAAAACAAAGAAAATAAATATAACTTTCTGAATTAATTTGAATTAATTTTCTTCACTTCTCTACCGATCTTCTTGAATCTAACTATGAGATGCATACTTTGAAATTTTGGTGTTCCCTTATAACATATATGTTAATTCCATTCTTCTTCCAAATAATTAAAGACTTAATATGAAAATAACTACTCAGTATTGTAAAACTTCACTGCAGGTTTTTCATTTTACCTATAGAAAATGGGTACCATAAAAGTATCGCTTTCCATATAGTATCTATAGTCCATGGACAATATTTATATTCTGTAAGAGTGACACAGAGCCAGTAGGGTATACTGGTTAGGAGTCGGACATCCCTGAATAGGCGTATCCAAATTTTTGGCTTGTCTGAGTCTCATTAAGTGAAGAGGAATTGTCTGGGCCTTTATAAAATATAGTTATTTTGAGAATTTACATAGCCGCTTACTCACTTTAAGTGACTTTAGGCAGCTTACAAAAATAAGTTTATGATCTTCTAAGTGGGCAGCACTGCAGCCCATCCAGGGCTGCATGGGGTTGGATACAGCTGTGCTAGAAATTGGGAGACAGTTCTAACTCTGCCTTAGACACAAAGCCAACTGGGAAACCCTAGGTCAGTCCTTTCAGACCTAGGAAGGAGGCAATGGCAAACCACTTCTAACATCTTGCCAAGAAAACTCAGAAACTTGTTCAGGCAATCACCAGGAGTTAATGTTGACTCAAAGGCATACACAGCCACACACATACAAAAGGGTGACGCACTAGCTATAATTTTCCATAAGATTTTAAAACTACATTATTCCCAAAGGTAATAACGTATAAAATATTGGAAAACTTATGAAGAAAATGTAAGAGTGATACTGCCACTGCTTATCATTTGTATCTTTTGTAACAAATGGTTTTTCACTGCTATCTAACCTGCCATATGGTTATTCTGTTAAACCGCATTAATGGATCTTTCTCTTACATATTGATCTTTATCTACACTGCGCCTCTGCTATACCCTCTAAACATAGCACACTTCCACAAAACCCTTCAAAAACCAAATCTATTTTAAATGTCCAGCCCGTGAGAGATGTATTCATACAATGCAAAAGGAGGCATTCCACTGCTAGCAATGTGACGGCAAGAAAATCAATTATTAAATTCATTAATACCAGGCAACTACAAACAAAATTCAATCTGAAGGACAACTTTTTTTCTCACCCTTTTTTCTCTGTCGATAATTTTCTTTTGTAGCACACCTCTTGAAAGTACCTTAAGTGGATTATCAAGTCTCCTTGAGATTGAACTCCCTTCCCTCTGGTGATTTTATGGATATGTCTTACACATTTTCTTGGCAGCACTATAGAAATAATTGGCCATGCCTTCTTCTGGGATTTTTTTTTCTTTTTAATTTCCCACTCAGGTTTATAATCTGAAGACTTCTTGGCGGCCTCCAATCCAAACAGTAACTGATCCTGCTTAATTTTTCTTTTCTTTTTGAGATCAGCCAAGCTCAGATCCCTGTATATATCTCCCCTGTCTGCTGTGTTTAACTCCCTCCCCCCCCCCAAAAAAAATCAGAGGTATAGATGAAACAATACAACTCCGTCCAAGGGCTGGGCAAAGACACACACACCCCCACCTCCTCCGAGAAGAAAAAACCCGTGAGAGATCCCATGTTCCAGGGTAGAACCTTAAAGCCAGAAGCCCAGGACTCTCAAGGATGTCCAGCGCCTTGGTCCCTTCCCTCGCGGTCTCTCCCCCACCCACCCACCCACCCAAATTCAACTAGATTAAGAGGCTGCCCTCTCTGGCATTTCCTCGCCACGGGGGAATCCATGCCTTCTCCTCACCGCCACCAGCTCCACCCCCGACCCCCAAACTGGGGTTTCAAGGGGAACTAAAAGTTGCCAGGTGCCAAGTGGGACGGGAGGGGCTCCTAGGCAATGCTGGAGCACCAATCCGAGCAATGAAGCCCCTGCTCGAGGGAGAGGCTCTGCCATCGGCCTTTCCCTCCCGACCCCGGGCGGCGAAGGTGCCGCATGGCCAGCCCGCTCTCCCTCCCAGCCGCCCACCGCGTACCTTCCTCCGCCAGGGAACCCGGGAGCAAAACAAGCCGGAGGAGGAGAGCAGGCGAGGGGAAATCCGAGGATGGGCCGCCCGCCCAATCACATCGCTCCCTGAGCTCACGCTCTGGATCCCTCCGGCGCCGCCGGGCCCCACCACCCGTTTTGTCTCCGGCCGAAGACCCGCCCTCGCCTCCCTCTGCTTCCGGGTAGTGCACGAGGGGCGGCTGGTGCAGCGGCTCCCATCTCGGGAGTGACGAGCGGGGGCAGGAGAGGGCGGTTCACCCGGTCCCTCAAGCCCGCCGGTCCTGAGCCACGCGGCGGTTTTACCAGTCAGGGGTTGTTTGGGGGGGGGGGGCGGGGGGGGGAGACGAAAGAGCGAGCCAGGCTTTCTCCTTAACGTGGGGGCAGAGGGGATGCTTGGTATCTCCCCCACCTCTTTGTGCGGGGAGGGGGGCGATGGGATTCCTGAGGATCTGCAGGGAAGCGCAGGATTTTCCGTAACTCCCCCCCCCCACACACACACACACTCGAAACTTACCTCCTTAGAACAAGAAGATCCGATTTTGTAAAAAAGAAAAAGGTGATTTCTCTGCTACCTTGATAGGTAAAGAAAATTTTCAGCATTTGCCCCAAGGGCAAGACTCTCTTGAGACTCTCTTCTCTGGTGGTAGTTTTTGCACCAAGTGGTACACCCCTGTGATGTAGTACAGATAGTTCTCGGCTTACGAGCAGAGTTGAGCCCCCCCCCCCAAAAAAAAATTAATGTTGCTAAGTGAGAAAGTGGTTAAGGGAGAGGTGGTTTTGCCCCATTTTATGATTTCTTGACACGTTTGTTAAGTGAATCCCTGCAGTTTGTTAAATTAGTAAATAACGCGGTTGTTCAATGAATCTGGTTTTCCCCATTGATTTTTGCTTGTGGTGAGATTGAAAAAAAAAAAGTGATCACATGACCCTGGGAGACTGAGTTGTCAAAGCATCTGAATATAAATCATGTGGCTGTCAGGTGAATTGTATTCACACTGGGTTTCTGGACCACTTCCTCTTATGCCACTTAACTTCTCTTACTAGATAGGGTCTGCCCAACCTCTTAGGTTGGTCTCACAGGTGCTGCTGAACCTGTGTTAATGTTGTTATGCTGAGCTAGTCCTGTGATAGTCAGATATTTGTTACTGTGAGAGTGTCAGCACGCTGATGCAAGCACACCAGGAAGTTCTGTGGTGTCTGCTGTTGGCAATTGTGAATGCAGTCAGCATGACATTGCAACAGTGGGACACATGAACAGGAAATGCAAGGCTTGTGCAAAGAACTGAAGCAGCAGCAGCTTCATTAGGGAGCCTCTGTGGCACAGTGGTTAGAGTGCAGTACTGCAAGCTACTTCTGCAGCCAGCTGCCTACAATTTGGCAGTTCAAATCCCACCAGGCTCAAGCTTGACTCAGCCTTCCATCCTTCCGAGGTGGGTAAAATGAGGACCCAAATTGTTGGGGGCAATATGCTGAATCTATAAACCGCTTAGAGAGGACTGTAAAGCACTATAAAGCAGCATACAAGTCTAAGTGCTATTGCTATTAACATTTAGACAAAGACGGGTTGGATTCTACCGGTTCTGTCCACTTCTGTAGAACCGGTTGCTCTGAAAAGCAGCAAATAGAGAACATACATAGAACTGGTTCTATGTCTGCTGATGTTTTGGCCCGCCTGCCCGGGCTCTTACCTGACCTTTATTTCCTGCTTTTTCAACCGCAGAAGCTTTGCGCGACACAGCTGCAGTTGAAAAAGCAGGAAAAAAGGGGTTTTCCAACCGCTGCACACTTGCACCCAGCACTGCTCAACTGTCCGGGCAGCTCAGCAGGTCGTAAATTGCACTCACGCGACTCACACATGCGCATGCGACGCAGAGCAACAGAACCGGTAGTTATACCGGTTGGATCCCATCCCTGGACAAAGACATACCCCAATCAAAGAATATACCATATGTATTTAGATAGATACAATGAAGAGTAAACTGAGAATACTGAAAAACCAGGTGACAACAGTGTTAGCACTGTCATCTGTGGAAATGATATGAAAATGACAATAGAAGTGGCACTTTTAAAATAATATTGATACCAGAAGTGATTGGGTGTATTAAAGATCAGTAAGAGCAACAAGAATGTCAAATCTTTAGCTATTGTAAGTTGTAAATTAATTAAGACCCAAGAAACATCTGGAGCCAAGACAAAACTACCTTCAACTCTCATGTCCAGCCAGTTAAAATCACAATAGGATTAGGAGACCTTGCCTTGGGTAAGTATGCTGCCTTGGATTATTTGTATCAACAATAAAATAATAATAATATAAATAATATGATTTTAAAAAATAGCCTGGAACACCCACGTCACAGGCAGACAACTCAATTAAATTCATGAAGAGAATATGATAAAATAAATCCAAAAGTTTTTACAGGAACCACAGTCTACTGTTTCAGACAAAAAATATCTATACTTAAAACAGTAATCAGGATTGCCAATTTTGCAACCGGTCAAATCAACCAGATTTAAGTAAAACTGGGAGGATGGGTATCTTGAGAAGAACTGCTTTGGGAATTGTATTCTTGTCATCTATTTCAGGCAAAAAAGTATTTTTTGAGAAACAGCCTGAATCATCTGTTTTCCAAAGCCAGCCAATCAGATCAGAGAGCACTAGAATATATGAAGAAATCACATTACAAAAATTCTCCTTAAAACAAGTGGAATTCTATGAAAATGGCAGAATACAATGTACCAATAACAGGAAATTAACTATGCTGAATGCTTGTAAAAAAATATCCATGGGACATTGCTCCTATGGATAAATCAGTTCTGCTAGGGTTGTTGCAATCAAAGATTTTTTGAGGGGGCTTTTGAGGAGTTAATACAAGTATTATTTACAGGTTATTCTTAAGATAAAGGAGGTCCCTTACTCGACTTTATGTTGTGCACCAGTTACACACTTTCCTGGATAGGGAAGCTTTCTACTCGGTCTACTCACGCTCTGGTCATCTCCCGTTTGGATTATTGCAATACAATCTTCATGGGGATATCCTTGAAAAGTATCTGGATGCTTCAAGCTGATACAAAAGATATCAATGTTGGGCACCCAAAGAATAGTGCATATAATGGCACTTGTGCTGAGAGAGCACAAGTTTGCTTCTGTGTCTGATTAAGGTGTTGATCTTTAAAGCCCTACATGGTATGGAGCCAGGTTACCTGTAGAACCAGCTTCGCCCCATTGCAACAGCCCATCCCACCTAGTCAGGCAGGAAAGGTATGCTGTGGACAACGTTAAAGAATTCTGATTGGAAGGACTCAGGAAGGGAGCCTTCTCTGAGGTCTCCACCCTTTAGAACAGCCTCCCCCCCTCCCTGAGATGAGGTTGTCCCCCCCCCCATCTCCAGACCTTTCAAAACCATCTAAAGACTGACTCTGCTGCCTCTTTTAGGGCTCAGAGGGGTGCACTCTGAAGTCCCTGCCCCACCTTTTAATTAATATTTAATGCCAAGTTTTAACTATCCTTTCCTCAATTTTAAATTTTTATATTCAGTTTTTATGTTTTTAAACTTTTATTTGTAAACTACCCAGAGACCCTGTGGGCAATTTCTAAAGGCGAATGAATGAATGAATGAATGAATGAATGAATGAGTGAGTGAGTGAATGAATGAATGAATGAATGAATGAATGTTCTCATTTGTTTCTAATATAATGCTGGTTTGGGAGACTCCATTGAACAATTTTTTAAGTGTATAAACCCAGCATAATGTTTTGACACATTCTAGTTAAATTATGGCCTATTTATATAAAAGTAATTGGTTTTATTCATACAGGACATCATTACAATGTGGTTTGATTGTGCTTAACATGTTATGGAAATCCAGCCTTGTGGATGAATTAATAAATGGAGCGTAAACAAACCATGGCATATGTCAGGTGAATCAAACCAGATTCTTTATTTGTGTCAGAAACACTTTCACATTATAACCATATAACATTCAATACTGACCAAATAAAATAGTTGTAAAATAGGTCATAAAATATAGTGCATGTAAAAAGTACGTAAAATAAGGATTAAAACTAAACGACATTCGCCCAGTATTGGGCCACATCAGCACCATTTTCTCTCACTAGCATGATGTTGTCATACATGTTGAAGGAATCATACACACCATAACATATGTCAGATCGATTCTTCTTTTCACACAGAGAATCTTCTTTTGGGAAGCCCAGGTTGGTTGAAAGTAACTGCTACCATTTTTCCTGTGCTTAAAATTCTGTGGAAGCCCACTAGATGGAGCACAATAGACTAAGGAAAGCCAATCTTCATGAATAAATCCTAAAGTGCTGTAGTAATTCTAAAATAGATTTGATAAATTTGATTGTGGAGATTTGAGAAAAAACAGCTTTTTCTCTAGACTTAGCAGAATA